CCATGAAAAACAGCTTCTCATAAAAATACAATCGCCGTTCGGAGTCGGCGTAAAACTGTAGGTCCCTCCGCTTTGTGTGACAACATCAAGGCGCACGCCACAAATCGGAGGAGAAGCTCGGCCAAACACTAACATATGTGTAAGCGCCAATCTATTATTATTATTATTAGTCCGAAAATATTAGCTCAAAAGTAAAAATTTCGCATAGTTATTACGCCGTGCGACAAAAATCAAAACATTTCGAAACAATCAATACACTCACGAAACTGGGAGCGTTTAAATCAGGTACCGAAAATAACAGTCAAATATAAAGATTCTTATTTTTAAATCATTGGAATTTTATTTTTTTGTGCAAATATAATCGTTATTTTTTTATACCATTTTGTACCGTTACAGCTCTTATAATCGATGTAAATCTTTTGTAATCCTAAAAATTAAACCTGATTGAAATAATATGACAAAAATAATGATTATTCTTGAAAAAAAATTAAAAACCATAAAATAACGGTTAAATTTGTTTGAAAAAAATAGAGATCCATTTTAAACGATAAAATTCGGTCACTGGAAAAGTTACCAAATTGAAAAATAAATTACCAAATTACCAAACTTGATAAATGAAGAAAACTATTACCAATTTTGGTTAAAAATTACTGGCCGAAATTTTAGTTTGTAAGTGGAATATTTAATAATTTTTATTATTATTACATACCCTTTTTAATAAATAAATGGATATTAGTAGGTTTTATTTATGTATGCAAACAGTAAATTTGACTAGCAGAAATTTCACATCTTATCAGCACTTGAGATCATAAATACTCTATATTAAAACATAAAAAAAAACAAAACAAAACAAAAAAAGTTAACATTGATAATGGAAAAATTCAGCCACAACGTAGCCTGCCTGTGGCACATTGTAAATAAACAAATGTACATACATACATATGTACATATGTATACAAATGTGTATGTATGTATGTATGTGCAACCCAATATGTTTGCAAAATACCTTGGTACTTTTTCGCATACGAATCGTAATTTTGAATTAAAAACACCAAACAGAGATGCTGGTAAACGACAATCGGAAGACACAACATCCATTAGTTACGTCTCGCTTGTTTATATATTTTTGTGTTGATGGTTTTTTGCACCACCATTGATTTAGGCGATGTGTCTGCGCCTAGACGTAGGCTACAAAAATTTTCATTCATACTGCTGCCGCATTTATCAATTTGTATGCCCTTGCTGGCAGCCACAATGGTTCAATTCTCAATTACTAATCCAAACAAACCAGTTCAAATGGATTTTTGTCGACTTGGATGAGTAAAAAGTGTATTTTCGGCGCACCATAACGACCTTTGCCCATTTAATAGCGAGCGCATTGAGGCATTGGCGCACTGCCAGCGACTTGCATACATAAGTAAGTGGTACAAATATTTATACGCATTTATGGCAAATGGAGCAAATGCAGCCTAAATTTTCTTCTAGAAAAATAACTTCAATTCACTTATAAAGTGAGTAAGAGTGCATAAGATAGTGGGACTATGACCTTAAGTGTATAAATAGAATTACAAACATTTGTACAGACTTATACATACTTGTAAGAGCAATGAGAAGACGCCTACATAAGTACATATGCACATATATGGCAATGACTTTAAGAATTATAATTCGGTTTACTTTTTTTATTTAATCTTTTTTTGGCTACCCTCGAACAGCTAAAACTTTTCCAGTGTGTTCTAAGGTCAAATCTCCTTGTCTAAATATGCGCGTGTGTACGCACAAGAATTGGCAATTCCGTGTCATTTGGCGTGAATACCACTCTTTTTTGCTTCACAAGTAATAAATATTTCGCGAAGTAAAGAAGTTTTCTTGGACAGCACAGGTACAACGTGCTTCATTTGTAAATATAAGTAGGTGCATTTTTATATCCGAGCACAAGGTTATTATAACTTTGTTCGCATAACGGTTTTATATCCTAATTATTTGTACATATGTATTATTAATTCTAAAGTTTGTGAGTTAGTGATTATTTTTGTTACTCCTTGACGCTAAAACGTCTCGATATGTTTCAATGAAATTTGGGAAACTGATAGTTTATAACCTAGATTAATATATAGGATATTTTTTTTTTTTAAGACAGTTGCTACCTTGCTATTTCAAACATATTCTTACAGGGGGTTGCCAGCTTCTCAAAAACTTCCCATCAGTTTAAATAACAAGTTAAATGAAAAGTTAAATGTAGGTTTTAAAACAAGAAAGATTTCAGAAAAGCTTAATTTCAAAAATATTTTTAGGGGTTGCCACCTGTTTAGAAGATCGAAATCAATTTAAATAACATGCTAAATAAAATATCTTCATATGGATATCAAGCGAGAAATGTATAAGAAAGATTTATTTGAAAATATTTTTGAAGAGGGTTGCTACCTGTTCAAAAATTAAAACCAATTCCAATACTTAGCAAGTTAGATAGAAAAAGGTATCATAAGGGACAGGTTTTAAGAAAGCTGTAGATATTTCGAAAATATTTTTGACGTGCATTGTCACCAGTTTAGGCTTTTAAAATCATTTGAATTGACCTAACTGGTCATACTGATATAAAATGGGAAAGTTTGTGAGTGAATTATAAGATCAACGAGATTTAAAAAAATTTAAAAAAATTTATACGTTTTCAAAAACTGTATTTAAATTTTATTGCTTAGTTAAATTAAATATTATAATAAACTAAATATGTAGGTGGCAAACGACACCGTAAGACAATTGCCAAATCTGGGAACTATCTTGAAAGCTCCTTACTGTCTTTCGAAAGACAAATTTATCTAAACAGAGGAAAGTAGTACTTAAAAATTAAATAAAGTTTAACTTTTTTTAAACAAAATATAAAAGTCTAAAGAAAATTAAAATAAAAAATTACTAAAAAAATAAAATTAAAAAACAAAATAAGATCCTAAAATTTAAATGAAATAAAACCAAAAATATTTTTTCTTTTTAACTGAGTAAAATATACTTACTAAAAACATAAACTAACAAAAGAAAAACAAATAAAATTTAAAAGGAAGAAACAAATAAAAAAAACTATTCTGAATAATTAAATGAAATTAAAAATGTTTTTTTAACAATAAAAACTAAAACTTGAAAGAAAAGTAAACTAAAAAATAACTAAAGAAGAAAAAACAAAATAAATCCCTAAAAATTAAATGAAGTAAAACTAATATATTTTTTTCTTAAAAACAGTAAAATACAAAATTTATAAGAAAGTGAAATTAGTAAATAATAATAATAATTAATTAAATAATTAAATAAAAAATATTAAATGAAATAAAATTCCAAAAAGTATATGTAATTTAAAATAATATTTGTTCGTTTTTAAACAATAAAATTTAAAAATTTGAAGAAAACTACGCTAAAGAAAAGAAAAAAATTAATTAAAGGAAGTAAAAAGTATGTTCCTAAAACGTAAATGAAACAGAAGAAATATTATTTTCCTTTTAAAACAAAAAAATTTTAAATTAAAAGAAAATTAAATTAAAAAAAAATTTTAATTAAAATATAAATAAAAAATTTAAATTAAAAAAAGTACCGCTGCCCGAGGACTGTGCTTTGCTCACTCGGCCATTGCGACTGTCGGAGCGACGCGAGCTTAATGATATACAAGTGCTTTCTCTTAAAATAGCTTTTCAGCACGAGTGGTGAAAAATTTTTTTTTGTAACACTTTTGTGCTTGAATAACAAAGGCCTTTCGAACTAATATCGTGCCATCTGTTTCTCATTTGTCTTACGAAAGACTTTTTTCTTTCTTAGCCAGAATTGCCCTGTTATTAAGAAAGCTTATGTTTGAAAAACAAATCCAAAATTTTCAAAAGTTTTCATAAAATTACGTCAAATTTCTCATTTCAACGAGGACTTTCCATATCGACTGGGAAATAATACTTCCGGGTGGTATACTTGTTGGTATGTGCATTAGGGTGGTCCAAAATAAATAAAGTCGGAATTTTAATGCTCTCACCCTCTATGATTGTTCTATATCGAAAAAATATACCCGTATTTTTTTATTTTGAAATCAAACAAGTAATTTTTGAGCAAAAAACAAACCGACTTCAAATAAAAATTTAAGATTATCGTTAACTTCTTCACGATCCATGGTTAAAAATATTTAGAAATCGCTCAAAGTGCTCAAAATTTTCCATGTATTTTATATGGGGAAAAACAACTTTTCGTATAAATGTAATGGAATTCTTTAAAATCAATATTTTTCGATCGGAAAACTCTAGTTCGCTTCAGGAGACTTCCAATAACAATACCTATTGTTTATTTAGCCATCTTTTAATACTAAAGACTTTTGATTTATCCCCCTATAGCATTTTCTGTCATTTTCTGGGGTTTTGGCGGACCTATAAAATATAGTTACTTTGAAAAAATTGTTAAATAAATAATTGGTATTTTTATTGGGAATATTTCTACGAAAAGTGGTTTTTTCCCATATAAAATACATGGGAAACTTTGAGCACTTTGAGCGACCTCTAAATATTTTTTGATTTCAAAAAAAGGGGTATATTTTTTTCGGTACAGAAAACTCCAAGGGGGTAAGAGCATAAAAATTCCGACTTTTTTGGACCACCCTAATGTGCATAGTATATGCCTCCCGTGAAAATGTAACGCCCGATAGACGAAAATAAGGTTAAACTGAAAAAGGTATTTCTTAGAATCGAAAGGTGATTAATCTAATAGATATATTTACTTTTTGTTACCTATCCATATTTGTTGACATAGATGCATACATACAATAATTATTACTTTTGATAAATCATTAAAGAATGAAATAGAATAGAATACTTATTTTTCTGTCTAATTTTTCCAAACAGGAATGTACGCTGGAAAAGATGAAATCATCCGATACATGGCTTTTCGATTTGAATAGCTTTGCGTACTTCGATACTGGCATTCGGGATGGTCCGCTGATGAACTGCCAAAAAGTGGTGGCCAGAGATCGTAAGTGAAACTGTTTTCTGTTTATGTAACTTCATTACTTAGATACTTAAGCTTCTCAGCACATTCAATTTTATTCATAATTTTCTCATTTTTCCAATTTTTTGGAATTTTATTACCCTTTCACAGCCCACACCAGCAAAATAGTAACAGCACGATTCTGTCAATTGGACACCGCCGATTCGGATGCCTGTCAAATACTGGGCAAGAGGTTGGGTTGGCCACCGGAGTTGGCGCGCAATGCCAATGCCAATAATAATGATAACAAAAACAACAACAATGCAAAGCGTAAGCTGAAATATGGCAATAACGGTAATAATGGCGGCGGCGGCGGCGCAGATGAAAATCAAGACGCGGAATTGCACTGCTCCATTTGTGATGCGGACAACTGTAATGGCAGCCAAAGCGCTCACCAATGGAGTTCGTGGTGGTGCGTCGGCGTTTTGCCGGCGCTCATTGCTTGGATGATTAGTTTGCGTTACCACAGTGCGTGGTGAGCGCAGCGCGATTGATACCCGCCGCTGCCGCTGTTCCGGCTGGACAAGTGGTTGGCTGGGTGCGTCGCTGAGCTGTAGATGTGGTTCAACAACCGAATAGCCCACGGCAGCAATTAAATATTTAGGAAAATAAGATTACTTATTATAAAAAAAAATATATATATATATTGGTGCAGTCTAATTTTAAGTACAGCAGCTAAATGAATATCGATGTTCAATGGTTTTTTGCCGAATCGAGTATTGTGTGCAAAATTTAATTGTTACATTGCTGCACGCAACTAACTGAATAAATGCCTTGAGTTTAACATTTGTGTATGTATTTAAGTAGTTGGGTGATTCATGCGACGCAAACACATTCACTGTAAATAATCATTAAAAATTGTTATCTGTGTAAATAAGCGTAAAAATGCTCGTATATTTATTCAAATAGTAATAGCTGAAAAAATTAATGAAGCACTGAATATCGATATGCGAAAAATTCTTAACATTGCATTGATAAGGCTGCTTTTTGAAGTTTTGCTTTTAATGAGGCGAAATAGCTTTCTCTTGTGTTTTTCCTATACGTTGAAATTCCACTACACTTTTATATGGAAAAAATAAAACAAATATACTCACGCGAAATATGTGAAACGGCATAGAAAAAATTGCTAAAGTTGAAAATTGAAAAATTGCTAAGTGTTTCGAAAAAGATAAAGGTACTGGTTTTATTTATTCTAGTTTACATATATTCAATAAAAGAAGAATTTGCTAAGTCCTAAGTGCTAAGAAGCACCGAAAATCCGATAAGGCCAAAATTGTACGAAATCTTTTAATAAAGATCGAATCCATCTGACTCATATGGAGTTTTGCTTTGCTTTAAATAGCCAAAATGTTGTATTCAAAGCTTTGCAAAAAACTTGAAGAAAATGGCTAGAAGAAGCTTTTTCCCCTCCAGTAAAATTTTTTAAATTGGACTTAGCAACTTTTCACTCTAAGCTAGCGATATACATATTTATTTGTATTCTCTTTTCTATTATAAACTGCGTGATAGAGGACTTTTTATTTGAAAAATTATCTTAGTCTTAATTTTAAACTCAATCGCAATCTTAATCTCGATTCTTATTTTTATCTTTATCTTCCTCTTCCTTTTCATTTTTTTTCTTCAACTTCTTCAACTACTTCAACATCTTTATATTCGGCAGCTTTATCTTTTCTTTTTATCCTCCTCCACCACTTCATATTCATCTTCTTCTTAATTTTCACCTTCATCTCTTATCTTCACCTTCATCCTCATCTTCATTTACCTCTTCTCTTTTATTAATATCTTTTTCTTCATCTTCTACTTTATCTGCTTCTTCTTCATCTTAACTTTTATTTTCATCTTCTTCTCCATTATCTTCATCTTCATCTTCATCTTCATCTTCATCTTCATCTTCATCTTCATTTACCTCTTAATATTTTCCTTTACCTCTTAATATTTTCGTTTCTCTCTTTTTGCTCTTTATCTTTATCTTCATCTTCTCCTTAATCTCACAGGCAATTCTAGTAAAGATATGTAGTTGAAAGCCTTTGTAAGTCAATTAAAAGACATTTGGCAAGATAGTTTGAAAGATTTTGGCTATTCTGGCACGAAAATATTACAAAAAAAAGCTGTCATGGAAACGTTCATGGTGAAAAGCTCTTTTGACAGAAAGCACTTGAGTGTGTTCCAAATGGAGATTAAAGTATTGTAATCATTTTGCTCGTGTTGCTCTAACAATCCAACAATAAAGCACTCGCGTTGAGAAGCCCGGTGTTCCTCTTTTCCCTGTTTTTAATATAAATGTTTTTATTTAATGTTTTTAATATTATTTTCTCTTAATTAATCTATTGTCTTAAAAAGAAAAAAGTATTTTTTGTTTAGTTTTATTTCATATTTGGAAACTCATTTTTTCACTTTAGTATTTTCCATCAATTTTTTTTAGTTTTTTAAAAAAGAAAAATATTTTTTTAATTTTACTAAATTTTTAGTAACATTTAATTTTTTTTTTAGTTTAAATTTTTTATTTTTAGATGTTATTGTTTTAAAAAGAAAATAATATTCATTTAATTTTTTGAAACTTATTTAATAAATTTTTTCATTTTATCGCTTTTTTCTTTTTGAAATTTCATTGCTTTTTAGTTTTGAGAAATTTGTCTTATTTGGTTAATTTTTTAATTTAGTTTGTTGTTTTTTAATTTTATTTTCTTTTACGAAAAAGATTTGTTGTATTAATGAGAAAAACATATGTACATATTTTAAATTGCATATAATTTTTAAAAACTACTTTTATGAAAGTTTTTAATTTTTGTATCTATTTTTTAAGTAAATTAAATTTTCTTTTAGTTTTTAAATTTTACTGTTTAAAAAAGAAATTATTATTTTAGTATAAGAAACTTTTTTTGTTTTTTCATTTCATAATTTTTTAAATTTAAAAATCGTTTGGTTTATAAGTTGTATTGTCTTAAATAGAAAAATATATTATTTTTTTGTTTCAATTAATTTTTAGAAACTTTTTTTTTGCCTCTGTTTTTGTTTAATATTTCTTTTCTTTTTTGTTAAATATTCTTAAAATTTTTAGATTTAATTTTTTTTTAGGACAAATATATTTTTTTAATTGTACTTAAATTTTAGAAACTTTTAAATAACTTTTTCATTTAATTTTCTTTTCATTTAATTTGGTTTCAAAAAGAAAAAAAATTTCTCAATTTCGTTTAATTTTGGGACATTGTTTGTTTTTTTTTTATCTAATGTTTTTCCTAATTAACTTTTTTTAGTTTATATAGAGTTTGGTGTTAAAAAATAAATTTTAATTTTATTGAATTCTTAGAAGCTTATTTTAAGTATTTTTTAATTAATTTTTTTCTTTTCTTGATATTTATTTTTTATTTTTAGATTTTATCGTTTTAAAAAGAATAATATATATATATAATTTAATTTAAGAAAACTAAAAAAATATTTATTATTCTTTTTAAAACGATAAAATCTAAAAATAAAAAAAAAAAAATTATCAAGAAAAGAAAAAAATGATGTTTTGCAAGACCGCCCATTGACCAGTTGCAAAGCCACCTAAATCGCCGTTTTGGCAAAAGTGAGATTTAGTAACCCTGAACTCCAGGCATCGAGATTTATGCATAAAAATCATACAATCATTATTAAAACAACATATTTGTAAAATAATAGCTAGAGAAAATACCGCCTATTAAGGCAATGCCCTCAAAGAATAAACCGTTTTTTCGCTATCCTGTAAAATTTGAGTGCTGTAAGATAGGCGGTTTTACAATTGGGCGATGGGCGGTCTTGCAAAAACATCGACGATATATATTTTAATTTAACTTAATTTTTACGTTTGTTTTTCCTATTTCCGATTCGTTTCGTTTGTGTTTTATTTCATTTTATTTTAATTTGTAGATGTTATTCTTTTAAAATAAAAAAAATATATATTTTTTAATTGTATTTAAATTTAAGAAATTTATATTTTTTCTTTTTTTTAATATTTTTTGTGTATTTTGTTTATTTTTAAACTTCGTTTTAAATAGAAAAGTTCTTTTTAATTTCATTGAACTTTTATTTTTAATTTTTTTCTTTTTTAAATATATTTTTTGTTAGTTTTTAATTTCATTTGATTTTCAGAAACTTATTTTTTTATTATTATTTTTTCTTCTTAGTTCAATTTTCTTTTAATTTTTGGTTTTATTGTTTTAAAAAGAGAAATTTGTATTTATAATTAGATTTTATTTTTAGGAAACTCACTAGTAAAAGACGGATAGCGTAATGCTAAGATCGTCTCGTTAGCAGATCTTTCAATTAGTGTTGCGAAAGACACAAAAGTAGTTTTCAAGATAGTTGCCAGCAATGACAATTGTCTTACGAAAGACTTTTTTCCTTCGAAAGACTGTGGTGAGTTGAAAGACAGTGGCCAGAATTGCTCTGTAAATCAAATGAAAAACACGCGCACTTCTCTTTTTGCAATAATTCAGGATAGGTCAGGAATAAATACGTGTTTAATATTTTTGTTTTTTCGTTTCACTAAAAGCAAAATTTTGGTAAGGTTCCAAGCTTGCAAAAAAAAAAAAATTAAAATGCGTACAGCCGAAATAGTTAAATATTTCATAGCTAAATAAAAAGTAAATATGAAGATACGCTTCGTTATTTTTTTTTAAATCCTGCTTTACAAATAAAAATATTCAAAATTCAAAACATATTTATGTAAGTAGGAAAATCGTAAAAATACATTCCATAATTTTTTTATTCATCAACACTTCATTATAGTACATACTTAGTGCATACATACATACTACATGCATATGTAGGCATACATAAATGACGAAAATATTTAAATCTGTTTCAAACTTATTTTTGTATCCATTGAAAACAATTATTAATTAATAAAAGTTAAGATAAAATATATGTAGCCCAATTTACTTATAAATTATAAGAATTAATATTCACCAAATGCCTTTAAGTTTTTTTTTAAGAATTAAAAAAGAAAATGGTGCACAATTAAGCGAGACAAAAAATGTAAAATTTCAAATGAAAGTAAATTTTATTGAGCTGTTTTGATTGTTGAAAATGGTTTGCAAAGAAAATGGGTCATTAATAAAGGGGAGGAAATAATTTAATAATTTGGAATAATATTATTATTTCAAACAGAAGAGAATTTCAGCAATAAAGCAAAAGCCCCAAAAATAAAAACTTAAAGTAAAATATAAAAAAATTAAAGGTTGAAAGTGCTAGGCTATTGTGTAATGGCATATATTAGGTAAATACTATATAGAACAGTGTATTTGCGCTCTCAAATACTTACACAAAACAATAATAAAATTAAGAATCAATACTTTAAAACTAAAAATTCATGTGGTTTTGCTTCGGTTTTCAAATAAATAAAATAAAACATCTGACAAATATTGATAAAGTGATTGGCATTCCAAAGCAAGCGCACACACACACACACACACATGCGTACATAAATGCACAGCGTACCAGAGTGTCAATGCAAGGCGCGTGTGTGCCAAGGCAAATGAAAATTCTCAGTCAGAACTCTACTTAAATTCAAAAGTATTCAAATGCAAAGTAACAAAAATATTGGAAAATTGAGACTAACAAGAAAAACTAAAATTAAAATGGCAAATGAGATTCATATTTTTTATTTTTTTTTTGCCATTTTTAAGCGGAAGTTAAATAATTAAAGGCGGAAATATTTTTAATTGCAAAAATTTATAAAAACCGCACATGGATGCAATAAAATTTTGAAGTGAGGCCCATAAACGAAATTTTTTGGAAATCGTAACACAAGCGAGAGTACGTACGTAGTCGGAAAGCGAACGCATAAAATATGAATCTGGTCGTAAAACCAAACAAAACAAAATAAATATGTGCTACCTAGACTCAAATTAAAGTTCAGTGTTAACAAACCATAATTACATACAAACATACATGCAAAATGCATACAACCAGTGTACGTACATACATATGTATTGTACATAAGTAAATATTGATCAAGTAATTGTCTCTGCATGTTTACATAAAAATTAAAAAAAAAAAAAATAATAATTTATGTTTGTAATACCAATTACAAATCATCGCTACAGCAAGAAGCAAGCAATGCATAGCAACATATTCTTCATAAATACATACATACATACGTAGATACATATGTACTCATGAATGAAGTGGGATGTAGCTAATTTCGTTGAAATTGGTAGGATATTTGGCGAAGTAAAGTTGGTAATAAAAAATAAACAAAGAAAAAAATTAAAACAAAAAACGTTAAGCTGCATTATTT